AAAGGAGAATCGTACGGTAAAATATACCCAAGTTACTGTATATGTGAGTGACTGAGATGGTGAGGAGAAGGGGGGAGGTGAAATGGAGTGGAAGGGGGAGGGGAGAAAGAGGAGAAAGAGGAGGAGGAGGAAGAGGAGGAGGAGGAGGAGGAGGAGGAGGAGGAGGAGGAAGAGGAGGAGGAGGAAGAGGAGGAGCAGGAGGAGGGAAGGAGGGAGAGAGAGAGAAAGGGAGGGAGGGAGAGAATGAAGATGGAGCTGAGAGAGTGAGAGGAGAAGAGACGAAGGAAGATGAAGAGAGAGAGAGAGAAGGAAGATGAAGAGAGAGAGAGAGAGAGAGAGAGAGAGAGAGAGAGAGAGAGAGAGAGAGAGAGAGAGAGAGAGAGAGAGAGAGAGAGAGAGAGAGAGAGAGAGAGAGAGAGCGAGAGAGAGAGAAAGAGAGCGAGAGAGAGAGAGAGCGCGAGAGAGGGAACTGCATGACGGCTGCGGGACCGGCCCCGCCCGCGTCCGCAGCCGGCGAGGGCACGGAGCCAACCGCCGCCTGACACAATCGTCGCCTTCGAACGCGGGATTTGGTCGCGTCCGAAATTCCGCCTGCCGAGGATTCCGCGCCGGCCCTCCGTCGCCTCCGTCTTTCCGGCGCCTTTTTTTCTCACTCGCGCAAGACGGAATCCGGCTCGGTGTCGCGTCGCTAAAGAGAGAGAAGAGAGCGAGAGAGAGAGAGAGCGCGAGAGAGGGAACTGCATGACGGCTGCGGGACCGGCCCCGCCCGCGTCCGCAGCCGGCGAGGGCACGGAGCCAACCGCCGCCTGACACAATCGTCGCCTTCGAACGCGGGATTTGGTCGCGTCCGAAATTCCGCTGCCGAGGATTCCGCGCCGGCCCTCCGTCGCCTCCGTCTTTCCGGCGCCTTTTTTTCTCACTCGCGCAAGACGGAATCCGGCTCGGTGTCGCGTCGCTAACGTGGGCGGCGGGAATTAGCGAGATTTAACGAGATCTGACTGGAGCGAGAAAGTGCGAGGTGTTCTTGGCGGGAGAGATTTCATTCACATGCGCGTATCATTTTCATTTTTTTTTTATTTATGGTCTGTCTTTGATCCTTTCTCTTACTATCTGTTCTCCCTTTTATTCATTTATTATCTTCATTTATGCATTTTTTTTTTGTTCCACCTCTTTTCTCTTTTCTTCTCCCCCCTCGTAAGCGTGAGAGAGAGAAAGAGAAAGAGAAAGAGAGAGAGCGTGTGTGCACGAATTGCACTCTGTCTTCCCTATGTGTCTCTCTCTTTCTCTCCACCTCCCTCCCTCCTTCCTTCTTCTCATTCTCCTCCTCTCTTTTTCACTTCTATCACTTTACTCTGTTTCCATTCGCCTGCTTCATCTATCTCTCTTTATATCCACCTCCCTCTCGTTTCTCCTTCCTTCCGTATTCTCTCTCCCTTCCACCACTCCCCTTTCCCCTCTCTCTTTTTTTTTCATTTCCCCTTTTTCCCCACCACAGTATTCCCCGCAAAAATGCGCGCGTGAGGCTCCTCTACTTTCCACCCCCCCCTCCCTCCCCCCACTATAAACCGGCAAACTCACGTGCTTTTCACTAATTACAGCCCCCCCCCCCACTCTCTTTCTCCCTCCCCCTCTCCCCCCCCTCCTGCCAAATCCCCAACTCTCCCCACTCCTTGCCCATCAACCCCCCCCCCCCTTCCCCGCTCCCTGCCCATCAAACCCCAACCCCCCCCTTCCCTTATCAGTCCCCCTCCTCCTCCCTTCCTCTCCCCCCCTCCCTTCCCCCCCATGCTCCCTAATTATCATGTCGTACGCTGGCCACTGCAAAAACACAAAATAGGGAGGGGGGAGGGGAGAGGGGGAGGGGAGAGGGGGAGAGGGAGGGATTCAATTGTGATTTGCATTCCACGCGTGAACACCCCCCCCTTCACCCCCCACCCCACCACACACAGAGAGAAAAAAAAACTCAAAAACTTTAACGGAACTTTTGGCTTGCATGTTTGATCGGGAAATTGAGGGGGGGGGGGGTCTAGTTAAAAAGAAAGCTTAAAAGTAAAGGAATAAAATAATTTAAAAAATCTGACCAGAATGACAAAAATTATAAAGAAAAATTAAGAGAACACATCATAAGAATAAAAAACATACACACACAAATAAACACTTGAAGACGTAAAGCAACATGTCAACAAAATAATAAAGACATCAACACACCTTTGGTTTGATTATAAACACAAAAACATGGAAAACAACCAAACAAGAACTTCAAACACCCCCACACCCACACACATCTACGCCCCCCCCCCCACCCCCCACACACCAAGGCCCTCACCCACACATATCCGCGACGCCCCCCACACCCACAGAGCCGCAACCCCCCCCCCCCTACCCACCCACCCACCCACATCCACACAGCCGCGACAAACACAAAAACCCAAACACAACACGAACGGCCTTTGCCAATGCTAAAATCCACATACACAAAGCCATTCCACTGAGATCCCAAATCCACCCCCTTCCCCCCTTCCCCCCCTTTCGCCCCCCCCTTTCGCCCGAACCACCTCGAGGGCACGAGAGAAAGCACTCGTGGCAGCATCCATCAGCGTAATGACAAGAGGGAGGCTGACATCTGGAGCAGGATCTTCACAATTAACTTGCATCCTGCCAGCGGGGGGGGGGGGGGTGCAGAAAAGGTGAGAGGGGAGGAGGGGAGAAGAGAAGGAAGAGAGGGAGAGAGGGGACGAAGAAAGGAAGGAGGAAAGGAGAGAGAGAGAGAGAGAGAGAGAGAGAGAGAGAGAGAGAGAGAGAGAGAGAGAGAGAGAGAGAGAGAGAGAGAGAGAGAGGGAGGGAGAGGGAGGAGAGAGGGAGAGAGGAGAGAGAGAGAGAGAGAGAGAGAGAGAGAGAAAGAGAGAGAGAAAGAGAGAGAGAAGAGAGAAGAGAGAGAGAAAGAGAGAAAGAGAGAGAGAAAGAGAGAGAAAGAGAGAGAGAAAGAGAGAGAGAGAAGAGAGAGAGAGAGAAAGAGAGAGAGGGGGAGGGGGAGGGAGGGAGAGAGAAACGCAAACATTTCAAATATCAAATTCGCTCACTTCGCCCGAGTTTCTATTAAGTGTGTGTGTGTGTGAGGGGGGGGGGGGGACTCATGTTCTCCCCCTCCTCCCTCCATCTTCTGGGAGGGGGGGGGGCAGGGTTGGGGGGGAGAGGTGAGATTGAGAGGTGAAATGGGGGGGGGGTAAAGGAAGAGAACTAGAAGGGTGAAAGGAGAGGGCAGAGATGAAGTTTAGGGGGAAGGGGAGGAGGAAGAGAGGGGGAGAGGGGGGGGAGAGAGAGAGAGAGAGAGAGAGAGAGAGAGAGAGAGAGAGAGAGAGAGAGAGAGAGAGAGAGAGAGAGAGAGAGAGAGAGAGAGAGAGAGAACTTCCGAGCTTTTTGCCCATTAACTTTCAAAACTGCCCCGAAGCGCTCGACTGCCCCCTCCCCCCCTTTCCACCTCCCTCATCCCCCTACCACCATCTCGCCCCCCCTCCTCCCCCCCCGCACAAGGAGCCCAACCAGCATCCTCATCTCGGCACAACAGCCTCACTTATAACCGCCTCAAGGAGTTTTTTTTTTTTCTTCAAAATAATTTTCTCTATTCCGTTCTGCTGTTGCTGTTCTCTGTATCTATTTACTTAAATAATGTCTTTTCCTGCCCCCAATTACCATTGTCATTTAATCGTCGCATTTTCCTTTTCGTCACTGCATTATCATGCATTCACCATTTCCTATTCCATGTCAACAGGATTCTTTACTTAACCGACGAATACTTCCATTAAAGCATCACCATTTAAAATTAACTTCCTGATTCACTTCCTGCCTTCCTGTCCTCCCTTAGCCATCCATCATGTCTATTAATTCCTATCATTATCTATTCGCTCATCCATTATTGCTTCGCACGTTCGCCATATATTCATCACTTCTCATTTGCATAAGAACCTCTTTCATTAATCATATCCAGCAATATATTATCATTTACCCCCCCCCCCCTACTCTACCCCCCCAAAAAAAAATCGACGAAGAAAGAGAGAAGGAAATAAAAGAAAGAAAGAAAGAAAATTAAAGAACATAGAAAGAAACTAAAACATGAATAGAAAAGAAAAGAAACGAAAAGCAAAATAAAATGCATGACTCCCGAACTTCTCCCGTGAGCACTCGCACACCACCGGAAAAATTATTTTAATCCTGTTTAGTTTTTCTTGAGCTTCCGTCAGCGCCTTTTGCATGAAGCGAGAGGAATGATAATGGTCGATAATCATCGTAATTTCTTCCTCTATCGTAACAAGAGCGAGATTGGGGAGGGGGTATGGGAGAGGGGTATGGGGAGGGAGGGGGCTGTGGCAGTTGGACGGGGAGGGGGAGAGTTTATGACTGGTAATAAAAATATAATTCACTTTATGATAACCTTTTTGTGAATGCTTGTATAACGGTAACAGTTTTGCTCCCCTTTTTTGGAATTTAGTTGTTTTTATAAAGTAAATATAACTTACATTTGCTTTTATAAATACATTTGTTTGGAGTGTCAAATGTATAATATTCTAACACAATAAAATAAATCGTCAGGGGGAAGAGAGAGGGGGGAAGGGGGAAGGAGGGAGGAAAGGGGAAGGAGGGAGGAGGAGGGAAGGAGGGAGGAAGTGGGAGAGAAGGAAAGAGGGAGAGGGAAGGGTAAAGGAAGAAAAAAGGGAAAGGAAATTGAGATAGAGTGGGAAGGAAGAAAGTAGAAGGAAGAAAAGGAAAGAAGGGGGAAGGGGGAAGGGGTGGAGCGCGACGGTGGACGTGCTCAGGAGGCTGACAATGGAGGGCGGCTCCGTGACCGCTTCCTTCGCCACGTCCCTCTCCTTAGTCTTCCGGCGATCGTCTCCGTCGACCCGGCACACGACCCTTCATATCCTGGGCTTTTGTTTGGTTTCTGTTCTTTGTGTTCCTACGGAGGATCGCCTCTGAGACGCGGGGCAAGACAGAGCAACACTCACCGTTCTTTAGCTTGTTCTCCTCCGCCGCCTGGCCGTTGGGGAAGATGGTCTTGACGAAGATCCCCATGCTGCCCTTGGGGGAGTCGCGCCCCCCGACGATGGAGAAGCCGAGGGACTTCCGGCCGCGCCCCTTCTCGAACACCACCGTCTGCACCGCCATCGACAGGCTCTTGGGCCGCCGCGGGAGGGTCGAGCTCAGGCCCCGCGGCTCCGACCTGGAGGGCGACGGCAGCTTGGTGTAGCCCTGAGGACTGGCGAAGCGCTGCGTGATGGGGGGGTACTTCCTGCTGCCGAAGGGGGACTTCCTGGAGGGCGTGGCGGGGCTGGACCGGCTCTCCGCCAGCGTTCGGTGGGGCGTCGACAGCCTGGGGATCATGCTGGACTGGCGGGCCTCGGCCAGCGAGTCCTCAGGCTCCACGTGGATCAGCTTCGACTTGTAGATGTCGGCGTTGAAGGTCTTGTCGGCGCAGAGTCTGACGTCGCTGGCCGACGAGTAGCGCACGTCCACCGCGTCGCGCACGTCCTGTGAGGAGCAGTACCTCGCCTCGCCGTTCACGTAGCGCGGGAGGTTGCTCTTGCGGGACACGTGCACGTCGTAGTAGTCGTCGCGGGCGCCCAGGTAGGAGGGGGCGAAGGTCGTAGACGACTTCTCCGAGGCGGCGGGGGGCAGCGTCGCGGGCAGAGAGGTCGGGCAGTCGGCCAGAGGCACCGTCACGGACACCGGGCCGGACACGGACACGGTGGCGCGGGAGGGGTCGTAGCCGGGCAGGTACGCCTCGAGCGGCGCCAGGGTGCTGTAGTCGCCGTAGTCGTCGTAATCGGAGTACGACCCCCGCCGCCGGGGCAGGCTCCGGTCCGAGTAGGGCACGAAGTGCTCCCGCCTCACGCCCAGGACGTCGTCAGCGTCCAGCAGGTCCTGGCGGAAGGCGCGGTCGGCCGTGTAGAGCTCGCCGCACGCCTCGCTCAGCCGCCGCGCCGCCTCCACCTCCGAGGGCTTCTCGTCGCGGGCGTGGCACTGCCCGCTGTACTCGCGGTGCAGGTGCACGTCCACGTCGCGCGCGATCACGATGTCCACCTCCTTGGGCGTGCTGCGCAGGATGTGGCGCGCCTCGTCCAGCGTCACGCCGCGCAGCCGCCGCCCGTTCACGTTGATGATCTCGTCGCCCACGCGGAAGCGGCCGTCTCTGCGGGGAGGGGGGGGGGGGTTAATCAGAGGACAATCTATTGCTATTCTGCTTCATACTGTCCGCCTGAGAATGGAAGACTGTAGAAAAAACAGCATTCCAATAACTTTATAGCCATTCGACTGTTTACTAGAAGGATGGACCATGCATTCCACCTTGTACTAAAATGTCCATGACTTAGTTGGAACGGAAGAAAAATAATGGAATATTTCTTTTATAATCTACAACTTCTAGAATTACATACGAAACAAACAAACAAACACACTGGTACTGGCACTAGCACTGACACACAAACACACACACACACAATTAATCTAGTCTTATTTTCAATAAATCTAGTTTGAGTATTGTGGATTTTTCTACCAAATATTATATATACATAGCACTTCCAATCCTCCTGAAAGAAGAAAAAAAAACCGTATCGATCAAGCTAGCCTCGTGACAATCGCAGTAGTTACGTAACTATAACAGCCGACCGCATCGAGGCCTATATCCCCGGGCGCCGAAATCACCCCAAGACGATCATTAAGGAAATAACAAATGACGTGCAGCGAGCGAACGGCCCGCAGCCCCCTACAGCCCCTTACAGCTCTCACAGCGGACGCCTGCAACCACAACGGCCTCACCCACAGATACCTACATTCGCCCTCAACACCCCAGCAGCTCCCCCTACAGGTGGATAAGTCCCTCTCCAGGAGGTCTACTGTCCCCCCTACACCCCCCCACAGCCCTAATGCTGATATCCATAGTTACCTACAGACCTCTACATACCCCAACAGCCCCCCAAACACCCCCAAACAGGCCCCTTCCAGTCCTGTACGCTTCCCTCCGTTTCCTTTAGTTCCCCCTGCAGTGCCTAGGGTGATTAGCGCTCGCCTTGTCCGAATTCCGCGGTCGCTAATTACATAAGGCGCGACGACCGTTATGCTGCTCGGGCCGGCTGGACAGGTCATCAGGGATCTAATGGGGGGATAATTATATCATGGAATAAGGGGGGGGGGGGGAGGAAAGGGATATGGGGGAGGGGGAGGAGGAGGAGGAAGGGGGGAGGAGAGAATTGGGATTAGATGAAATGTAATTGGAGAAAAAGAAAAGAAAAGAGTGAAGTAGGTTAGGAGAGGGAGGGGGGGGGGGGGCAGACGGACTGAAGAGAGGGGAGAAGACAACGAGAAAGGAGAAAGGAAAAAGATAAAAATAGGGAAGGAACGGAGGCAGGGAGAAAGGAAAATAGAGAGATAGAGAGATAGAGAGACAGAGAGACAGAGACAGAGACAGAGAGAGAGAGAGAGAGAGAGAGAGAGAGAGAGAGAGAGAGAGAGAGAGAGAGAGAACGCCGATAGTGCCAACAAACACACGGTCAGCGATTCTCTCGGGACGCCAGCAAACAGGCCATTTCCCTCCAGCCGATAGTTTTCCCTCAGAAATTCTCGTTGGGGCGTGGAAACGGGGTCGAGCCGAGTCGCTTAAAGGACTAAGAATAGACAGCTAGCTCTAAGAACAGACTTCAAGCACTTAGTCCAGATTTTAAGCTCTAAGAACAGACATCAAGCTCTAAGAACAGACTTCAAGCTCTTAGTACAGATTTTAAGCTCTAAGAACAGACTTCAAGCACTTAGTACAGATTTTAAGCTCTAAGAACAGACATCAAGCTCTAAGAACAGACTTCAAGCTCTTAGTACAGATTTTAAGCTCTAAGAATAGACATCAAGCTCTTTCTTGATTATCGAAGCGCTTGTCCACCGCTGAACGACCTCCGTCTCTTGTTTCGCAAGAAGAAAAACTCTCTCGCTATAAAAAAAAAATTTACCTCGGGGATATGACCTTTTTTTCTAAAATAAGAAACAGGAGAAATCACCGAATGAGACTAAATGGGCAATTTCCCTCGACGAAAACGATCAAAATGTCAAATAAAGAAACAAATTCTCTCTCTCAAATAAACAAACAAATTCTCTCTCTCAAATAAACAAACAAATTCTCTCTCTCAAACAAACAAACAAATTCTCTCTCTCAAACAAACAAACAAATTCTCTCTCTCAAACAAACAAACAAATTCTCTCTCTCAAACAAACAAACAAATTCTCTCTCTCAAACAAACAAACAAATTCTCTCTCTCAAACAAACAAACAAATTCTCTCTCTCAAACAAACAAACAAATTCTCTCTCTCAAACAAACAAACAAATTCTCTCTCTCAAACAAACAAACAAATTCTCTCTCTCAAACAAACAAACAAATTCTCTATCTCAAACAAACAAACAAATAAAATCAAAGGATACACAAAGACGCGCTTGAACGTCAGGCCAAGAGCTCTCTTTGAACCTCTGAGCTTTTGAACCTTCCTCCTCTCGCCCTTGGTGATGCGGGGGGGGGGGGGGGGAAGAGCATTCCGCGTGACCCCCTCTTACCCCCCCCCCTATGCCCCCTCCCTCCCCCTCGCCGTAATTACGTGTCAAGGGGCATCGCCACTCGCCCTCCGCGGCAGCTAGTTATCTCATTTGCGAACCGTTTGCGGGCGTCCCTTCGGATCTCGTTTCATCTCCCCCTCCCTCCCCTCCCCCCCGCCCCCACCCCTCCTCAACCCTCCCTTCCCGTGGCCTCAACGGCGCCCCTGTCCCCCCCCAATCTGCGTGTGGCACAGCCTTTCACTACCTCTTTACCATATTTTTTTTTACCTTCCTTTTTCCCCTGTGCATTCAATAGACGTTCAATATAAACTATAAAATATTACCCACACAAAAAACCTATCCCCTCCCTTCCTCACTTTCTCCCTCCGTATCACCTCTTTTTTCTCTCCCCTCTTTTTCTCTTTCTATTTCTCTCTCCCCTCTTTTTCTCTTTCTATTTCTCTCTCCCCTCTTTTTTCTCTCCCCTCTTTTTCTCTTTCTATTTCTCTCTCCCCTCTTTTTCTCTTTCTATTTCTCTCTCCCCTCTTTTTTCTCTCCCCTCTTTTTCTCTTTCTATTTCTCTCTCCCCTCTTTTTCTCTTTCTATTTCTCTCTCCCCTCTTTTTTCTCTCCCCTCTTTTTCTCTTTCTATTTCTCTCTCCCCTCTTTTTCTCTCTTCCCTCTCTTTCTCCCTCCTCTCTTTTTCCCTCTCCCCTCTTTTTCTCCCTCCCCCCCTCCCACCTCCAAGCGAGATGCAGCATCCAGAGCCCTGTCCACGTGATGCGCGGAGGCCACTCTCTCTCCTCGCGAGTAATGTGAAAACCGTGATGGAAAAGCCAAAACGACACAAGATAAAGAAAAACCAACATGAATCGAAAGGCAACATCAGTACCAACTATAATAATAATAATAATGATAATAATGATAATAATAACACTACTACTACTACTACAACTAATAATAATAATAATAATAACAATAACGGCAATAACTATAACAGTAGCCACAAACACATCGCCGTCACAAACAACAAACATGAGGTAAAATATCAAATTACCCGTTCGTAGAAAGAGAAATTTCAGTAACAAAAAAAAAAGGAAAAGAGAGAGAGAGAGAGAGAGGGAGGGGGAGGGAGGGAGAGAGAGAGAGAGAGAGAGAGAGAGAGAGAGAGAGAGAGAGAGAGAGAGAGAGAGAGAGAGAGAGAGAGAGAGAGAGAAAGAGAGAAAGAGAGAAAGAGAGAAAGAGAGAGAGAGAAAAGAAAGAGAAAGAGAGAGAGAGAGAGAGAGAGAGAGAGAGAGAGAGAGAGAGAGAGAGAGAGAGAGAGAGAGAGAGAGAGAGAGAGAGAGAGAGAGAGAGATTCCCTTCGAGGCACACGTATCAGGGCTAAGCAGGTGTGGGTTAATGGAGAGGGGGGGAGGGGGGAGCGGGGAGGGGAAAGTGGGGGGAGGGAGGCGGAGTATATAGATTATAGTATAGGTGGGGGGGGGGAGGGGGGAGGAGAGTCGGGGGCAAGAGAAGGGGGTGTGGCGAAGGTGGCGGTGAAACGGAAGAGGGAATAGAAGACAGACTGGGAGAAGGGGAGGTTAAAGAAGGGCAAAAGGGGGGGGGGGGTTGAAGGTGTGCGTGGGAGGAGGAGGAGGAGGAAGAGGAGGAAGAGAAGGAGGAGGAGGAGGAGGAGGAGGAGAGAAGAGGAGGAGGAGGAGGAGGAGGAGGGAGGAGGAGGGGAAGGAGATATGCGTGTCAGGCAGGCAAGTAGCAACACTCAAGGACGACCTTCATCTAGAGCCAAGCACGACCTAACCTCAGGGTAGACTAGAGCGAGGCATGTGGAATGTGGCAGAAGGGGGAGGAGGGGAGGAGGGGAGGAGGGGAGGAGGGGAGAAGGGGGAGGAGGGGCGGACGAAGAAAAGCCGACAGCAGAGGGCTTGAGCGGGAGAGAGGGAAGGAGGGGGAAGGAGGGGGAAGGAGGGGAAAGGGGAGGGAAGGAAGGAAGGGAGGGGAGGGGAAGGAAGGGAGAGAGGGGAGGGGAAGAGAGAGGAGGGGAGGGAAGGGGAGGGAAGGGGAGGGAACGAGAGGGGAAAGGAGGCAAAAAGGGAGGGGGAGGGTGGAAAGGAGGGCATGGCAGGGGAGGAAAAGCGGGGAGGGTAGGTAGGGTATGGAAGGGAGGGAGGAAAGAGGAAGGGACGGATGAGAGGATCGATGGATGGGAAGGGAGGGAGGGAGGGAGGGAGGGAAGGAAAAGATACAAGGGAGGGAGGGAGGGAGGGAGGGAGGGAGGGAGGGAGGAAGGAAGGAAGGAGGAGAAATTGAAAAAAAAAAAAAACTCATGGATCAAGACATCGAAGAAATAAGAAGGGTGGGGGAAACAGAGAAGAGAAAGGGGGGGGGGGGGAGCGTAAATGGCGTGCAAAAAAAGAAAAAGAAAACGAAAACAGAGAAGAGATAACGAGCAAAACATATAAAGAAAGAAACATATACAACGAAAACTAATCACAGCGTGCTCGTGTGCGTGCGCGTGCGTAGGCCTTGAGTACTTCCCTCCCCCCCTCCCCCCCCCTTGCCCAGCCCCGCTCCTGTTGCGGCGCCAATTGCCGTCTCAAGGTCGCCTTCGGGAACGCGGACACCACGCGTCGACGCGAAGAAGGGAAGAGAGAAAGGGGAGAAGAAAGAAGAGAGAAAGGAAGAGGGCGAAGAGATGAAAAGGGAGAGAATGATAAAGAAAGCAGGAATGAGGGAAGGAAAGAAGAAGCCTAGGGAAACGAGAGGAGGGGGGGGGGGGATTAAAGAAGAGAGAGGAGTAGGAAGGGGAAGAGAGGGGAAATTAACGAAGGGTGAGGAACAGAGAGGTAAAGAGAGGGGGCGGAATGAGGGAATAGGAGTAAGCCAGTGAGAAGCGAGGAAAGGAAAGGAAAGCAAAGGAAAAGAAAGCAAAGGAAAAGGAAAAAGGGAAGGAAGAGGAAAGAAATAGGAATGAAAGAAGAGGGTTGAGCGAAAGAGAAAGGGGAAGGAGGGGAGAGGAAAGGGAGAAATGGGCAACGGGGAAGAGAAAGGAAGGCTAAAGAGGAGTGGAAATTGGGAAGTAAATTTGACGAGGAGAAGAGACAGGTGGAAACGGAAGTAAAGAGGGAAGAGAAACAGGAGAGGCGAAGACAGGGAGAAGAGGGGTGAAGGCGTTGAGGGGGGGGGGGGCTACAAGACTACGACGGGAAGAAGAATGGAGGAGGAGAGAGAGAGGAAAAGAGACGAGAGAGAGACAGGAGACAAGAGAGGAGACGGGCAAAGCCGCCTCGAAACCGACACTCGAGCGACATTTTCACGAGCGGAAGCTGCCCTCAGGAAGCTCTGACGTCACTCGCGCGACCTCCTTCGCCCGGAGACATAACTTGCTGGGGGAGGCTGCCAGGGGCTTCCGTCTGTCTGGGGGGCTATTGGCTGCCAGGGGCTTCCGTCTGTCTGGGGGGCTATTGGCTGCCAGGGGCTACTGGAGATTGTCAGGGGGGGGGGGGGCTTACGGAGACTGTAAGGGGGGCTATCGGAAACTATCAGGGGCTACTGGAGACTGCCTGGGGGGGGGGGGGCTACCGGAGGCTATCACAGACTATCGGAAGCTAGCGTCGATTAATGGAGATCATCGATTCCACCCCCATGCCATATCTTGCGCAGATATTCTAGCTATTGCAACAAGCTAATGCTCCGAATCTGAGTGGGAGGGGTTGGCAATAGAAAAAATGCAAATATCTAAAAAAAAAAAAAAAAAAAAAAAAAAATGAACGGGGAATAAGAATAAACGCTCGAGAGTACCGATAATTAGATACTTTTTGAAAGAAAAATACAAAGCATGTCAGAAAAAAATACATATTCCACAACCTATACTGATAAAATGAATAACTATAATGAACATATAAGCAAAACAACATGTATGACAAAAATGACAAAACAACGGAATGCAAATATAAAATAACGAGAGAAAAAAACACAAAATAGTAAACAAAATACCAAAAACCTGAATCATAATAACATCACTAAAATAAACGATGCAATCATAGCAAACATCATAGCAACTTTGCAACAGCTTCTCACTAAGGCCTACACTTTCTCCGCACTCGACGCAGCCAGGGTCACGCGGCACTACCGCAGGCGGCCGCGCGCGCTCACGCAAGGTTGCAATAATGCAATCGCGCGCAAAGGGAATTAACTTTCTCTCTCGTTTGTAATAGAGACGAAGGGAGAAGGAGGAGGGGGAGGAGGGGAGAGAGGAGGAGAGAGGGGGAGGGGGAGGAGAGTGGGGGGAGGGGGAGGAGAGTGGGGGGAGGGGGAGAAAGGGGGGAGGGGGAGGAGAGTGGGGGGGAGGGGGAGAAGGGAGGAAGGGGGAGAAGGAGAGAGGGGGGGAGGGGGAGAAGGGAGGAAGGGGGAGAAGGGGGAAAATGAGAGAGAGGGGGAGGGGGAGAAGGGGGGAGGTGGAGGGGGAGGAAAGAGAGGAAAGGTGGAAGGGAAGGTAGGAGGAAGGACGAAAGGAGGTGGGAGAGGAATGGAATGGAAGGTGGAGGGGGCGGAGGGAAGAGGAGAGGGGAAAAGGAGAGAGGAGGGGGTGGAGCAAAAGGGAAAGAGGAAGAGGAGAGAGGAGGAGGAGGTTGAGGGAAAATAAGAAAGGAAGGAGGGAAGGGGAGGAGGCGCAGAAGGCGGAGGAAAGAGAGGGTAAGTGGCGAGGGGTTCATTTCTGAGGCAAACATTTGTGGTCTCGTGAGAAACCCCTGTCGACGAAAGGGGTGCAGCTGACACACACAAAGCTCTCTCTCTCTTTTCTGCCTTTCCTCTTTCTCTGTTTCCTCTCTCTCTCTTCTCTCTTTCCTCTATCTCTTCTCTCTTTCCTCTCTCTCTCTTCTCTCTTTCCTCTCTCTCTCTTCTCTCTTTCCTCTCTCTCTCTTGTCTCTTTCCTCTCTCTCTCTTCTCTCTTTCCTCTCTCTCTCTTCTCTCTTTCCTCTCTCTCTCTTCTCTCTTTCCTCTTTCTCTCTTCTCTCTTTCCTCTTTCTCTCTTCTCTCTTTCCTCTTTCTCTCTTCTCTTTTTCCTCTCTCTCTCTTGTCCCTTTCCTCTCTCTCTCTTCTCTCTTTCCTCTCTCTTTCTTCTCTCTTTCCTCTTTCTCTCTTCTCTCTTCTCTCTTTCCTCTTTCTCTCTTCTCTTTTTCCTCTCTCTCTCTTCTCTCTTTCCTCTCTCTCTCTTCTCTCTTTCCTCTATCTCTTCTCTCTTTCCTCTTTCTCTCTTTCCTCTTTCTCTCTTCTCTCTTTCCTCTTTCTCTCTTCTCTCTTTCCTCTTTCTCTCTTCTCTCTTTCCTCTTTCTCTCTTCTCTCTTTCCTCTCTCTCTCTTCTCTCTTTCTCTCTTTCCTCTTTCTCTCTTTCCTCTTTCTCTCTTTCCTCTTTCTCCGTTTCCTCTTTCTCTGTTTCCTCCTCCTCTCTCTCTTTTTATCAGCTGGTAAAAGGAAACGATTGCCGATTATCGGAATGAGGTTAAGTAGCTCACTAAAAAATATAATTGTGACAGGGAAGGAGGGAGAGGGAGAGGGAGAGAGAAGGAGAATGAATAAGAGAAAGAGAAGTGAGAGAGAAAGAAAAGTGATGGAGCGAAGGAAAGAAAGAGAAACAAAGAAAAAAAAAAGAAGAAAAAAATAGCCAAGGAAAAAAATAGCCCACAGCCAAAGCGCCCACAGCACCGGCAGCGCCCGCGTGGTCCAGAGGGCGTGGGTGTCAAGGGCGGGGGGTGGGGGGGGGGGGACGCAGATTATCATCTCACGGTAGCATGGGCGGAGGCTGCAAGGGCGGGGCCACAAGACAAGGCGGCCGTCAATGATAAAAGGGGGAGGGGGAAGGGGGAGAGGGGGGGGTCACAGGGGAAAAGCGGCTCGAAGAACTTTTAAAGAAGAACGCGAAAGGAAAAGAAAAACGGGAAATGAACGGTAATGAATGAAATGAAGATAAACGAGAAAAGAAGGAAAACAGGAAGAAAGCTTCTAAAGACATGGCCGTGATGAAAGCACGAGAAAAAGATTGATGACGATAATTACGGTGAGGAGGAGGAGATAGGAGAGGGCGGGAGAGAGGAGAGGAGGAGAGGGAATGAAAGAAAAGATGGGGAGGAGGAGGAGGAGGAGGAGGAGGAGGAGGAGGAGGAGGAGGAGGAGGAGGGGGGAGGGAGCGAGGGAGGGAGGGGGGGGGGGAGAAATGGAGGGAGGAAAGGAAGGAAGACCAGGAGGAGAGGCGAAGAGAGCGACAGGAGGAGGAGTGAGAAAGACCCTCGCTTCGACGGCGAGAGCGACAGCTGAAACGCGGCGGCGGCCTGGATGAAGCCATCGGCCCAAGATCAAGGCCTGCGGACGCCTTATACGGAAGCGCCGGCCGCCCGGGCCATCTCGGGGCGACTCTCAGCTCTCGGGGCGGCCGGGAGGCCCGCAGACACTCCCTCTTCTCGCCATGTACGTCTCAGCGCCAAGGTCTCACGTGCGTACACAGAAACACGTATAAACAAACACACTAATACATACATGCATACATTCATACATACATACACATACGACATGAGCATGCATTTAACTCGCACTCGACCCTCGCGCCCTCTCTCGTTTTAATCAACCCTTAACGGGACGTACCTGTCGGTGAGGCCGCCCTTCTCGATGTGCGCGATGACGTATCCGGTGGTGGCTCCGCGGGCGTTCCTGCGGGCGGTGATGTAGATGCCGAGCTCGCCCGTGTGGTCCTTGACGAGCCGCATGAGGCGGAAGGTGCGCGGCGTGGGGGAGCGCGCCAGGGACACGGGCAGCGACAGCGGCGCCGTGGAGTAGGACTCGGGCACGGGGTGCGCGAGCGCCGCCGCCCGCAGGTGCCCTCGGAGGGGCGTGCTTGACTCGTCCCACCACGCGCACCGCTCGCCGTCCTCGGAGGCCTCGCGGAACACGCTGAGGGCGCCTCGCAGGGGGCTCAGCGGCGACGTGCGGCGCTCCAGCTGCGACGCCAGGAACCTCTGGCGCCGACTCATCAGGTCGGGCGGGTCGGAGAGGCGCCGCGAGCCGCGCGACCGCCCGGGCACGAGCTTCTCCTCGTCCGTCAGGTTGTACTTGGACGCAGACGACGGCGACGGCGACGGGCCGCTGCTCTGCCGCTCCAGCCTGCTGTGGCGCAGCACTCTGCTGTAGTCGGTGTAGTCGTCGCTGTATTTGGGCGTGACGCTGCAGTCGGCGTAGTCGCTGCTCGCGTGCGCGAAGGGCTCGCGCGCGAGCTCCTCCAGCTTGGCGTAGCTCTCGGCCTTGGAGTAGCTGTCGGGCTTGGCGAAGTCGTCCAGCTTCGCGCAGGCGTCGAGCTTGGCGTAGTGGTCGAGGCCGGTGCCGTCGGCGCCCGTGAGGGAGCCCGAGTCGGAGTTGGTCTCCGAGTGGCTCTCCGTGCTCACGCCGGAGTCCGCGTCGCTCTCCGCCTTCTTCGCCCTCGCCTTCGGGGACTCCTGCCTCGCGCCGTCGGACTCGTAGCCGCTCTCGTTGCTGCTCAGGTACACCGCCGCCGACCGGCCCTCGCTGCGCGCGCGGAACCTGTCGGAGCGGTGGACGCGCGCGCCGTGGCGGGTGGGGGGGCGCTCGGCCGCGTAGGCGGCGTCCGACTCGATGGCCGTCGCCGAGAAGGAGCGCGAGCGGGGCTGGAGGGGCGCGGGGATGGCGTGCAGCCGCAGCTTGAGGCCGCTCAGGCTGCGCAGGGCGGGGCTCGCCGCGCAGTTCTCCTCCGACACGGCGCGCAGCTTCTGCCGAATCAGCTCCCTCGTGTCTTCGTCGCACACCGAGTCGCGCAGGGTCGTCACCCGCTTGCTGGGCGGCCGCGAGGGCGTCTCGGTGATGGGCGTGTGCTGCTCTTGGCCCTCCGCCTGCTGCGCGCTGGCGGCCTGGGGGCGCGAGCGCAGGAAGGCGTGGGGGAAGGACGCCCTGGCGCCGCCCAGGGAGGCGATGTTCTCGCAGCTGACCGTCTTGGTCGGGATGTACGGGGGGGCGGAGGGCGGCGACGCGCTCAGGTCCAGGCCCGACGCCGGGTCGTCGCCCGCCAGGTACGTGCCCAGCTGCGACGCCGAGCACGAGCGGTACAGCTGCCGCGCCTCGCCGCTGCGGCTTTCCGGGGAGGGCGTCCCGGGCACGGAACTGCCGCCCCAGGACGCGCCCCCCGACGACGGCGGGGAGGAGCCGGTTCCCGCTGACCTGGGAAGTCAAAACAATTACAGTGAGAGATCACAGCCACAAATAACAAGGTGAATTAACAAAAACAAGTGATTACAGCAGCTTGCACTTGCACCCAGCGCCAGGCGGTGAATCACCGACGCCCTCAATCCGCTGCCCCCCCCCCTATCACAGCCCTACTCCCGAGGCCCTGAGGGCGAGACCGTACCTGGTGGAGCTGCTTCTGGAGAACATGTTGGAGCTGACCTTCTCCTTGCTGGGCGTCCGCGTCAGCTGCTCGAGCTTCTTGCCCACGCGCCTCCCCCACGTGGCCAGGGCTGCGGACGGAGTGAGGACTACAGCAGGGGTTGAGGAATGAGAATAAGATAAGTTACATCGCTTCCATGGGCGAAACAGAAACAGAAACAGAAAGAAAAAGAGAAAGAGATAAATATGAATGCTGAACAGTTGATCGAACGCATATATATAGTTATTGCAAAGAATCTCACCGTGGATAATTGATACTCCTTTCGGCACAAGTGTGGACGCGTCGGTGCCCCTGGCGATCGGCCTTCGATCAAATGTCAATAGTATCATGTGCACGACCGGTGTTGCGTCAGGCTCAAAGTCAAGATCTAGTCGGAAAAAATCATTTGGGCCGTATGCACTGTACCCCCCCCCCCCCCCCACACACACACACCAGATATGAATGTAATCTTTTTCCACGAATATTGAAACGCACATCAGCCACGGCCTTTTCATCCCTCCCTTCTGCGTGACGGCCGCTCATGTCGACGGCCAACACCTGCTACAGATTGAGTGCAACACACCTGAACTATTTATTTATATCAAATCACTTACCGCGTCATCCGCGGACATATGAAACATTAAGCGCAATAATATCCACTACTGAAAATAGTAGCTGTGTAGCAAATAACAAATTCGTTCAATATATGTATACACATATAAATATACATACATACATAGATAATATATATATATCTATATATATATCTATATATATATATATATATATATATATATATATATATATATATATATATATATATTCATTTATATATTCATATATATATGCATATATATATATGCATATATATACACACACATATATACATATACATACATACATACACACACACAAATATACATATACATACATACATACACACACACAAATATACATATACATACATACATACACACACACAAATATACATATACATACATACATACACACACACAAATATACATATACATACATACATACACACACACAAATATACATATACATACATACATACACACACACAAATATATATATATATATATATATATATATATATATATATATATATATATATATAAAACGGATGTATGATCAGCCAAACTAAAAATACCAACCAAATTTTAAAAATGTAAATCCGCGCCATAAAACAGACAAACGCCTCTGCAATGAAGCAAAGCCGTTACAGCAAATCAGCAAGCCGCATTTATTTTCGTCACGCATGTTTTTAATTCCCCTTTTCCATTAATGCGACCGCCATGTGATCAAGGTCGGGGCGTGGGGGGGGGGGGGGGGGGGACGCGCGCCAGACGAAACAACAGCTGATCCTGAACTCGCACCTGTGGCTCTGTCGGGAACGGATCGCCGACGGACACGGGCGCCGTCCGCGGAAGGGGTGTTTCACGCTCAGGTCACGTGGGCGGAAATGGTCAAGGTTTAGACCGCGGTGGACTTGCTATCGGGTTGGAATTACTGGCTTTGCGGATAGACAGACAGGTAGAGATACAAACGGAAATAAGCAGACAGGTGGATAGACAAAGACAAACAGACAGATGCAGATAAACAAACACAAACACACACACACACACAAAAAAGTTCCTTGCGTCCTCACCTTTCTTTGGCGTCTTCGGCGTAGTGTTAGTCGAGGAGGGCGGGGTTGAGCTGACGGCAGTGCTGGCAGCGCCGTTGGACGCGCCGTGGGCTGCCGTCTCCAGCACCCTCGCCGGCACCGCCGTCACCGTCTGGTAGTGCGGGCCGCCCTCTCTGCCCTCCTGCTTGGCGCCCCTCACCTCGTCTCCCTCCTTCCCGGGCGTCCTTTGGAAGAGGACTCCTCGCGAGGGCGTCGCCGAGGTCCCCTTCTGCTGCGCGGGCGTGGCGGGGCCGCCCTTCTGCGGGGCGGGGGAGGCGGCGACGACATCTTTGCTCGGGCTGGAAACGATGCGGGGGTCGCTGTGGCGGCGCCGGAACAGACGCATCATGCCCAGCTTCCTCTCAAATCCTCCTCCTCCTCCTCCTCCTCCTCCCTCTTCCTCGGGGCTTCCTTCCGGCCGGAGGTCCTCACGCTGCGCCGCCCCCCCTCCGTGCCGAGGTCCTGGGCGCCGTCATGGTCGAGCTGTTGGGAGAGGCGAGAGAGAAACCTTAGGGAGGAGATACCATTGCCTCCAACGCGAACGACAAAACTATTTGACCGCGGCGAAAGAGAGAGAGAGAGAGAGAGAGAGAGAGAGAGAGAGAGAGAGAGAGAGAGAGAGAGAGAGAGAGAGAGAGAGAGAGAGAGAGAGAGAGGGGGGGGGGGGAGGGAGGGAAAAGGGAGGGAGGGAGGGAGGGAGGGAGGGAGGGAGAGGGAGAGGGAGAGGGAGAGGGAGAGAGAGAGAGAGACAGAGAGAGAGAGAGAGAGAGAAGAGAGACAGAGAGAGAGAGAGAGACAGAGAGAGAGAGAGAGAGAGAGAGACAGAGAGAGAGAGACAGAGAGAGAGAGAGAGAGAGAGAGACAGAGAGAGAGAGAGAGAGAGAGAGAGAGACAGAGAGAGAGAGAGAGAGAGAGAGAGAGAGAGAGAGAGAGAGAGACAGAGAGAGAGAGAGAGAGAGAGAGAGAGAGACAGAGAGAGAGAGAGAGAGAGACAGAGAGAGAGAGAGAGACAGAGAGAGAGAGACAGAGAGAGAGAGAGAGAGAGAGAGAGAGACAGAGAGAGAGAGAGACAGAGAGAGAGAGACAGAGAGAGAGAGAGAGAGAGAGAGAGAGAGAGATAGAGAGAGAGAGAGAGAGACAGAGAGAGAGAGAGAGAGAGAGAAGAGAAAGCCCAGTCCACAGGAGCAAAACAGAAAAGAGAGAGAGAGAGTTGACTGCCTAATCATTCAGAAAACCCTTATGATAAGACCTCAGGCAACAATCACGATTTGGATGATGGGCAAATGACGTGCCTGCATCATGACTGAAAGAGGCAATCTCACCTCTGATTGCAATATCAACGTAATGACACCATTTAACTTTCCATCTTGAGCGAGCATCTTCCTCTTGCAAAACGAGGAAGTCGCTCTGCAAGACATTCAAATTAATACCCTCCCCCCATCCCCCCCTAGAATAAATATATAGATATTTAAATAGATTAATTAATAATATAAACACTACCTATCAAAGACAAAATAATTTCGCCTGCTTTTTCTGTTTTCCAAAGCTATTATGAAATGAGTTGAGATGAACACAATATCAATTTCTTTCCTTAAGCAATGTAGAATAAACAAATAAACAAACAAGTGAATAAATAAAACCTTTTCCCCTTTCCCCAACGCCATCAGAAGAAGATCGACAAATGCGCTTTCCGATTTTCCTCTGTTCGTGCAGACCGCAGGATCATGACGTCATCGCCACCTGTGTACCTAATGACATAGCGAGAAATTTGCCTCATTTATATTCTCAATTCCTGCTCTTCCTACAACTTACCATTAAAAAGGGCCTTTTCCTCTTTATTTTAAACATCTTTCTTTATGTTTACTTTTTTTTTCTTAGTTGACAATGGAGGCGAGACAGAAATTCCCGCAGACAACCCAATATCGCAAACCTATACAAAGTGCCCCCAGTGTGTTCAACGGATTTATGAACAAAAATTCAATTCACTTTCGTTGCATCATGTTGCAGTTTTGGAAGAAAGTTGGAAGAGAAAATCCAGAACATCTTGCGGCGGGAGAGGGAGGGAGAGGGGGAGGGGGGAAGGGGAGGGAGGGTGGTCAAGATCATAGCTAGAGGAAGAGGAGATGGAGGGGGGGGAGGGAGGGAGGGGGACCAAACCTTGGAGAGAACAATGGTAAGGGACACATCTGGGTGGAAGGTAGGGGGTGGGGGGAGGGGGTTGGTATGATCCACACACCTAATAGGAGGAGCGAGGGGAGGGAGGGAGGGAGGGAGGGAGGGAGGGTTAGGGGAGGGAGCGGAGGGAGGAGAGGGGAAAATCACATCTAGGAAAGTGAAGGCGGGGAGAGGGGGTGTAGGAAATAACCTAGGAGACATAAGTGGGTGGGGGGAGAGGGGGACTAAGATACAGCTAGAAGGCAGGAGGATGAAGACACCTAGAAGGGGGTGTCTAGAAGAAGGTCCAAAAGTCTCGTAGAAGGAGATGAAGGGTCGGGTAAAGACCACACCTGGAGGTTCCATAGAGCACATCGAGAGTTTGGGGGGGGGGGGGGGGGAGGTTCATATAGCACGCACCTCGGGGGTCTATATGACACACAGCCGGGATGGTGTGTGGGGGGGCGGATCATATAGCACGCATAGTTGGGAGGTCCATATAGCACGCACTGGAGGTTGTCCCCTCCCCCCCCTCCCCTTCGTATGGCTTCCAGGCTGCGCTCAGTTACGTGGTCAGGTCAGCGGTGGGCGGCCCGGCGGTGGGCGGCCCGGCGGTGGACTTAAACGCCGGATTATGAAAGCGTAGAGGCTATCTATGAACACTTTTCTCTCTCTCTTTTAATCCCCTTCTCTCGCTTTCTTTGTGTACGTGTTCCAGGGAGAGGGAGAGGGAGGAGGAGGAGAGAGAAAAGAAGGGAGGAACAATAGAGAAAGATGGAGAGAAAGAGGATGGGAGGAAAGAGAGAGAAAGAGAGGCAACGACAGGAACGTAGAAAGAAAGAGAGGGAGGAGAGAGAGAGAGAGAGAGAGAGAGAGAGAGAGAGAGAGAGAGAGAGAGAGAGAGAGAGAGAGAGAGAGAGAGAGAGAGAGAGAATTAAGACAGAGAGCTAAGGGATGGAAGGAGGAACGGCAAAGAGAGAGAGAGAGAGAGAAAGAGAAAACGCGAAAAGAGAAAAACGAAACGACGAAACGGGAAGAGCCAAACGAAGCGAGAGCGAGAGCGACGGAGAGGCGGGGACGACAGCTGGGCGCGGGCGGGCACAGGGTATCGCGCAAGGATTAAGTGTATCCTGTTGCCTGTCACTTATAATCCCGAGGGAACTCTTTGTTTCCCGCGGATCATATGATGGGGGGAAGGGGGGGGAGGTGAAGGAGTGAGGAGGAGGTGCAGAGGAGGAGGGGAGGGGTAGGGCGGAGAGAGGGGATAGGGAAGGTGGAGATGGGGAAGGGAAAGAGAAATAGGGAGGGGGGGGAGAGGGATTGGAAGGGGGGGAAGAAGGTAGGGGGGAGAGAGGGATTGGAAGGGGGGGGGAGAAGGGAGGGGGGGAAAGGAAGGGAGCGAGAAAGAGACACAGGGAAGGGGAGAAGGGTGGAGAGATCTAAGATTGAACTGGAGATATTTTGAGTCTCGAGTTCACACGTGTCCCCCCCCTGAATTCCTGCTACTATCATTCTATCTTTATTATTATCATCTTTTTTTTTGTTTTTGTTTTTTATAGTTTACCCCAAACAAGCGTATTAGTCCAGCCCGCGAGATACGCTAGCTTAATCCCGACCAGCTTTGCTTACTGGCTGAGAGCGGTTTCTTGTCTCTCTCGATTTGCGATTTCGGAATAAAGAAGCCACATACTCTCGTCTTCGGGAAACAGCCGATACATTCAGACATTTTATGCAAATGGAGAAAAAAGGCAATAAACGTGCGAGAGAGAGAGAGAGAGAGAGAGAGAGAGAGAGAAGAGAGAGAGAGAGAGAGAGAGAGAGAGGAGAGAGAGAGAGAGAGAGAGAGAGATATAGAGAGATAGAGATATAGATAGAGCGAGCGAGCGAGGGAGAGGGAATGGGAGAGGGATATAGATAGATAGATAGAGAGAGAGAGAACAAAAGGAAGAGCAATGTCTCAGTCAAAAGACGTTATCGTTTTTAACCGTCGCTCACTTATAGCCATCGTTGGCCAAGGTTGAAAATAATACAGCAAGAGGGGTGGGGTGGAGAGAGGACGGGGGGAGGGGGGAGAAGGGAATAAGGAGAGGAAGAGGCAAGTACGAAAATTAAGAGTGGCAGGAAAGGAAAGAGGAATGGGGAGGGAGAGGGTGAGGGAAAGGGAAAGGGACAGGGAACGAAGGAAGGAAAGAAAGAAAGGAAGGGAGGAAGGGAAAGAAAGAAACAAAGGGAGACGAGAGCGAAGAGGAAGGGAATGCATTACAAATAATGGAGAAAAAAAAGTCGATTTATGCCAAAGGCCAACTTTTAGCAAACAAAACAAACAAAACAAAAAACACTGAACAGCCACCGATGCAGCACCACGAGTACAACACTCCCGAGAGAGACAAGACGAGGCCATAAACCGAGTAACCCAAAAGACAAAGATAATAGCAATAAAAACAAACAATAAAAAAGGAACAGCCTGGAAACGGAGACGCTCGCTACGAAAGTCGGTTGGAGAAACGCGCCGCTAAGAAGGACGGAGGAGGAGGAGGAGGAGGAGGAGGAGGAGGGAGGAGGAGGAGGAGGGAGAAGAGGAGGAGGAGGGAGGAGGAGGAGGAGGAGGAGGAGGAGGGAGAAGAGGAGGAGCAGGTGGAGGAGGAGAAGAGGAGGAGGAGGAGGAGGAAGAAGAGGAGGAGGAGGAGGAAGAAAAGGAGGAGGGAGGTGGAGAGTAAGTGAAGAGAGGAGGGGATGAGGAGGAGGAGAGGAAAGGGGAAGAGGAGGAGGAGGAGCACAGCAGCAAGAGAAAGAGGAGGAGGGAGAAAAAGACAAGGACAACGAAGACGAGGAAACGTAGAACCCGAGCAAAATAATAAAAAGGAAAAACGGCAAACGCAGAAGAGGAGAGACGAGGAGCGCCACGGAGTCCGGCCGCCCACCCGGCCGCCCACCAGCCCGCCCGTCTACACGCCCGTCCGCCCGCTCGTTCCTGCGGGGAAACTCGCCGCGGCCGACACTTCCGGCGGCGCGAGATCCGGCCATCTGGCTGCGGTTGCGGTCACTTGCGGCGAGAACCAACGACACTGCTAACGAATTGGTTCACGGGAAGACGCTCGCCCACGGAGACCACTTCTGCAGGGGCTAGTGCGGCCTTGCAGTTGCACGTCTGCAACGCGACCGCGTAATGACACGGGTGGCTTGCCTTTCGTTTCCGTTGCACTGGCGGGCCGGGGAGAGCATGGGCGGGGAAGACTTTGAAGAGATGTTACGGCGTTGGGTGAGGAGGTGGAGGGGTGGGGGGGGGAGGAGGAGGAGGAGGAGGAGGAGGAGGAGGAGGAGGAAGAAAG